CTATCCGCCAAGACCCACACCTATTCGTCCACGACCCACACCTATCCTCCAAGACCCACACCTATCCTCCATGACTCACACCTATCCTCCACGACCCACACCTATCCTCCACGACCCACACCTATCCTCCACGACCCACATCTATCCTCCACGACCCACACCTATGCTCCACGATCCACACCTATCCTCCACGACCCACACCTATTCTCCACGACTCACACCTGTCCTCCAAGACCCACAACTATCCTCCACGACCCACACCTATCCTCCAGACCACACACTATCCTCCACGACCCACACCTATTCTCCACGACCACACCTATCCTCTCCACGACCCACACCTATCCTCCACGACCCACACCTATCCTCCACGACCCACACCTATCCTCCACGATCCACACCTATCCTCCACGATCCACACCTATCCTCCACGACCCACACCTATTCTCCACGATCCACACTTATCCTCCACGACCCACACCTATCCTCCACGATCCACAAATATCCTCCACGACCCACACCTATCCTCCGCGATCCACACCTATCCTCCACGACCCACACCTATCCTCCACGACCCACACCTATTCTCCATGACCCCCACACCGTATCCTCCACGACCCACACCTATCCTCCACCGACCCACACCTATCCTCCACGACCCACACTTATCCTCCACGACCCACACCTATCCTCCACGACCCACACCTATCCTCCACGACCCACACCTATCCTCCACGACCCACACCTATTCTCCACGACCCACACCTATCCTATACGATCCACACCTATCTCCACGACCCACACCTATCCTCCACGATCCACACCTATCCTCCACGACCCACACCTATTCTCCACGACCCACAACTATCCTCCATGACCCACACCTATCCTCCAGACCCACACCTATTCTCCACGACCCACACCTATCCTCCACGACCCACACCTATCCTCCACGACCCACACCTATCCTCCACGACCCACACCTATCCTCCACGACCCACACCTATCCTCACGACCCACCCTATCCACGACCCACACTATTCTCCACGACCCACACCTATCCTCCACGATCCCACACCTATCCTCCACGACCCACACCTATCCTCCGCGATCCACACCTATCCTCCACGACCCACCCTATTCTCCACGACCCACACCTATCCTCCATGACCACACCTATCCTCCAAGAACCACACCTATTCTCCACGACCCACACCTATCCTGCGCGACCCACACCTATCCTCCACGACCCACACCTATCCTCCACGACCCACACCTATCCTCCACGACCCACACTATCTCCACGACCCACACCTATTCCTCCACGACCACACCTATCCTCCACGACCCACACCTATTCCTCCACGACTCACACACTGTCCTCCAAGACCCACAACTATCCACCACCACGACCACACTATCCTCCACGACCACACCTATCCTCCACGACCCCACCTATTCTCCACGACCCACACTATCCTCCACGACCCACACCTATCCTCCACGACCCCACCTACTCCCCGACCCACACCTATCCTCCACGAATCCACACCTATCTCCACGATCCACACCATTCCTCCACGACCCCACACCTATTCCTCCACGATCCACACTTATCCTCCACGACCCACACCTAGCCTCCACGACCACAATATCTCCACGACCCACACCTATCCTCCGCGATCCACACCTATCCTCCACGACCCACACCTATCCTCCACGATCCCACACCTATCTCCATGACCACACCTATCCTCCACGACCCACACCTATCCTCCACGACCCACATCCAATCCCACGTCCCACACTTATCCTCCACGACCCACACCTATCCTCCACGACCCACAAATATCCACGACCCACACTCTAATCCTCCACGACCCACACCTATTCTCCACGACCCACACCTATCCTAACACTCCGACCACACCTATCCTCCACGACCCACACTATCCTCCACGATCCCACACCTATCCTCCACGACCCACACTATTCTCCACGACCCACACCTATCCTCCATGACCCACACCTATCCTCCAAGACCCACACCTATTCTCCACGACCCAACCTAACCCCACCTATCCCCACGACCCACACCTAATCCTCCACGACCCACACCTACCTCCACGACCCACACCTATCTCCACGACCCACACCTATCCTCCACGACCCACACCTATCCACGACCACACCTATTCTCCACGACCCACACCTATCCTCCACGACCACACCTATCCCCACGACCCACACCTATCCTCCACGATCCACACCTATCCTCCACGACCCACACCTATCTCCACGACCCACACCTATCCCCTCCATGACCCACACCTATCCTCCAAGAACCACACCTATCTCCACGACCCACACCTATCCTGCGCGACCCACACCTATCCTCCACGACCCACACCTATCTTCCACGACCCACACCTATCCTCCACGACCCACACCTATCCTCCACGACCCACACCTATTCTCCACGACCCACACCTATCCTCCACGACCCACACCTATCCTCCACGACCCACACCTATCCTCCACGACCCCACACCTATCCTCCACGACCCACACCTATCCTCCACGACCCACACCTATCCTCCACGACCCACACCTATCCTCCACGGTAGATAATGCGCTCCCTCCTAGGAAGGATTCATTAGGCCAGCACCTATGGATCAAGAACATCTCAGTACACAATGCACCTAATTCAAGTAAGGATTACCCCTGTAAATTACTCTGAGAGGATCTACCTGTATATGTACTCGAGAGGTGTAGTGTACTCCTCTATTACACTGAGACGGTACCGTACTGATGTGTATGTACAATGATATGTAGACTCACTATTGTCACCGAGAATGTATGTACTCCTGTATATGTACTCCTGGGAGTGTAGTGTACACATGTTATGTACATGAGGGTGTAGAGTACCCTGTATAGAACTACTGGGAGGTGATACACGTGTATATGTACACTGATTAGGTGTAAGTCGCATCCATGTTATGTACAGTGAAAGTTAGGAACTCCTGTATATGTACCTGTCTGGGAGGTGTAGTGTACTCCGTGTATATGTACACTGAAAGGTGTAGTGCACTCATGTATATGTACAGTGAAAGGTGTAGTGTACTCCTGTATATGTACTCTGGGAGGTGTAGTGTACTCCTGTATATGTACACTGAGAGGTGTAGTGTACTTCTGTATATGTACAATGATAGGTGTAGTGGACTCATATATATGTACACCGAGAAGTGTAGTGTACTCCTGTATATGTATTCTGGGAGGTATAGTGTACTCGTGTATATGTACTCTGATAGGTGTAGTGTACTCCTGTATATGTACAGTGAGAGGTGTAGTGTTCTCATTGTATATTATCGTTTATTAATGATTAATTTAAACCTTATTTTAGAGGTTCAATTATTGTAATCTGATGGTCGATAAGTTTAAACCCGCTGAACCATTTACCAACTCCGCTCTGGCTGAAAAAAAAATTACGTACATGTTTGCTTTAAAAAGCTTCTCCTTCTTCTGTTGGGTTTCAGGGCCACTGACAGCATACGTTGTATCGAGCCCGACTTTATTTAAAAAGCCTCTTACTCTTCTCACTAAAGAGAGTGAGTTTCGAAATTCACTCTTTTTCAACGAGTTATTTACATTATTTCGCGAGTCAGTTCACCTTATTATTGTTAAATCTCAATGCGGATTTTTTTCAGTGAGAATAAAGATCTTTCTTCACCTATATACAAAGCCAGATAATATATATACAAAGCCAGATAATATATACAAAGCCAGATAATATATACAAAGCCAGATAATATATACAAAGCCAGATAATATATACAAAGCCAGATAATGTAAAATAACTAGTCGTCGTGCGAATTCAGTAAATTTTTCTTGCGAATTAATAAAGATTAAATTGTTCTTTATTAATATAGTTGAGTTTATCAGATTATACTCTGATAATCTAATAATTATTATTATTAGATTGATGGGAAAGTGTTAAACCCGTAGGTGTTACACAGCACCTATGGTATGTAAGGTAATCGAGTTTGACCCAAGGAAGGGGAAGGTCACGCCAATTCCCTGGATCAAGATCCCCACAGTTCATCAATGTGTTAGTGTTTCAGTAACAAAATCTATACATATATAGCGATATAATATAGCAATAGTGAAACATTCATACAGGACATGTTTCGCTCGTTGGATTTACAAAGGTTTCAGTAAGGGAAACATTTCGTAATAAACTATTCAAGTGTCATTTGTTGGAGAGTCAAGTGTAAACACTTGAGAACAATGGTCATGCAAGAACCCCCGGAGACCAGTCTCAGGGGGAGTGCGGCGCCGCTCGCCAAACACCGTGGCATCCCTCCAGTATGTTTTGTCTGGCTCTCACGAAAAATGTTTGCTGAAAATCTCGGGTTTCCCCAAGTTTCCCCAGCAGTCTCTCTTCTTCACTAAGTTTACACGCTGTAAAACTTCCCATTCTTCTTGGCTTGTTTTTCAGTGCGCCGAAGATGGTTCAAGGCTGAAGAGTGTCCCGTCTGGTCAGAAGCGGGAGTCGAGATACTTGTCCAAACTTTTGCGGACCCGACATATGTTTATGCTGCCTCACACTTCATAGAGAACGAACGGTGTAACGTTCTATTTTTCTTTCTTTCACTCCGCAATAGGTTTACAACGAAAAGTTTCTTCGATACACCGAAGAAAGTCACCGAAACGAGAGTTCGAGAGGCTTCGCCGATGACCTTGACCACTGGTCCACTTATCAAACCCTGACGCGAAAATACGATTAACCATTTCAACATAAAAATTGACACTGGGAAAGAAGTTCCCAATATTTACACCGAAATGTATACCTTTAGGTGTATAAACACTAAAAGTTTACCTTCGTCCCTATTTCAGAGATTCAGGCACTCTTGATGTGCGGTGAATTGCGCCCATAAAGACCCACGTGTAGAAGGTAGGCCTTAAACCTAAGAAAATAAACCAAGGACGCTATTCATTACCTGTCAGTACTGTAGGTGTGTGTGTATGTAGGTGCAGGCAGGAGCAGGAAGAGGAGTTAAGAAACAGAAGAAGCGGGCCCTGGAGCGAGCAGAAGCGGGTGTGTAGCAGGCAGAGCAGGGCGGAGAGCAGTGCGGCTTGACCCGGGTCTTCCTCCAGACTGGGCTGCTGGCTTCAGCCTCCCATATTGACGCTCCCAACACTGCGCGAGCATCATCCCCTCATCTCAAGCCCTCGCTACCCCCCTAACTTTAACTTACACTTCTTCCACTATCCCAACTTATCCTGGAAGTTTTCTCCAACTCACTGGTCACCATCGACTGATGTCTATCATTGTGGGTTGGTGTTACTTTCCCATAAGTCGTCGGATTCACATTTGCGTGTCCATATGAGGTTCAAATAATCTGTCAGGTAAGGATACGAACACAGATTGAGTGATTATTGTTTGTTTTTGTTCTGTTCAGGTGTTTCAACGAAGATACTCGATAAGGTGTCTTTAGGAACGACGGCGGAATTAAACAAATATGGTTTGGTTCAACACCGCTGGTTTTACTTCCTTCATTGTACAAAACTCGAAGAGAATCGAAATATATATCCTGCATTTTTAGGGGCACTTTTTCCAGTGTTCGAAAAAGTTTTATATTTTTTTATTATTATTAATTTTGTAGAGTTAAATCTTACTCACTGGTTTACCCTAATAGTTTACATTACTTCGTAGTCATAAACTATCTTATAAAAGGTTCTTTACACTGAATTGACACAAGAAATATGTAGGGTCGTTAGGCGAAACTTTCTATTGAAACTGGCAGCGTCGTTCCCTAAGTGAATGTTTTAAGGATCATTTTATCGTTTGTCACGAGACAAGGAATAGGCCCGATACCAGACTCACTAGATATTCCTTAACACTAGATGATGTTACTGGGGATGCAAGCCGACAAGCTTTGAGTTTCGTTTGTAACTGTGTGTGAGAATGGAAGCTCCAAGGTTCAACCTGGCGCTAGGCTTCACAGCCTTCTGATCAGTGCTTCTGAGTGTGGCAAATGGCACGGGTGAGGCGATACAAATATAGATATATATATATATATATAGCAGGGTTTTATAAGCCCAGCTTGTGTGAGGAGAGCCGCGACTCTCACCACTCAGCTACGGTTGTTGACATACAAGCCAACGAACAACCTTCTTCGACATTCTGTGTTTGTGTACAAGTCAACGATTAATACTACTTTTATACCCACAAGATGATGTCTTGTATTGCTTCAGTTAATAATAGCAGAATTATGATTGCAATTATCATGTAAGGTGAGATATTGTATAAAGAGGAGAGAAGGGAGAAAGTGGAATGAGAGATATCGAGTCTGAGAGAGGAAGTGAGAGACAAATGAGAGGGCAAGTGAGTAAAGGAGTGAGAAGCAGAATTCGGGAGAGGTGGGCAAATGGAACTTAGGAGTAGCCTGACCTCACTCTATTATTTACCTGGTCAATTGCAGGTGACAGCCTCCCTCCATCTCTTGCTCTATCTCTTCTTTATCTCTCTGTCAACTGTACCCTGACGACCCTCTCTCTATGTCACCTACATCCTGACGACCTTCTCTTTCTGTCATCTGCACCCTGACGACCCTGTCTCTCTGTAAGCTGCACCCTGACGATCCTCTCTTTCTTTCTCCTGCACCCTGACGACCCTCTCTTTCTGTCATCTGCACCCCGACGACCCTGTCTCTCTGTCAGCTGCACCCTGACGACCCTCTCTTTCTGTCACCTACACCCTGACGACCCTCTCTTTCTGTCACTTGCACTCTGATGACCCTCTCTTTCCGTCTTCTGCACCCTGAACGACCCTCTCTTTCTGTCGCCTGCGCCCTGACGACCCTCTCTTTCTGTCGCCTGCACCCTGACGACCCTCTCTTTCTGTCTCCTGCGCCCTGACGACCCTCTCTTTCTGTCGCCTGCACCCTGACGACTCTCCCTCTCACATGTACCCCTGAAAACCCTCCCTGTCCCTCTCTGCCTCCCTCCCTGTCTACCTGTTTGTCTTCCTCTCTCTCTCTCTCTCTCTCTCTCTCTCTCTCTCTCCTCTCTCTCTCTCTCTCTCTCTCTCTCTCTCTCTTCTCTCTCTCTCTCTCTACTCTCCTCTCTCCTCTCCTCTCTCTTCTCCTCTCTCTCTCTCCCTCTCTCTCTCTCTCTCTGCCTTCACTCTGGCTTCCTCTCTGTCTCCCTCTCTGCCTCCCTCCCTCTCCCTCTCTGCCTCCCTCTCTGCCTCCCTCTCTGTCTCCCTCTCTGTCTCCCTCTCTGTCTTTCTCTTACCATCTTTACCACACTGGGTACCCAGGACATACCCTCAAAGGTAGCAGTAGCAGTAGTAGTAGTAGTAGTAGTAGTAATAGCAGTAGTAGTAATAGTTGTAACAGTAGTAGTAATAATAACAGTAGTAGTAGCAGTAGTAACAGTAGTAGTAGCAGTAGTTGTAGTAGTAACAGTAGTAGTAGTAGCAGTAGTAACAGTAGCAGTAGTAGCAGTAGCAGCAGTAGTCGTAGTAGATACAGTAGCGCTACTGAAATTGTTGTAGAATAAGCTGTAGCACCCTGGTGTCATGTAGCATCAGTTGTAGCACCCTGGTGTCATGTAGCATCAGTTGTAGCACCCTGGTGTCATGTAGCATCAGTTGTAGTACCCTGGTGTCATGTAGCATCAGTTGTAGTACCCTGGTGTCATGTAGCATCAGTTGTAGCACCCTGGTGTCATGTAGCATCAGTTGTAGCACCCTGGTGTCATGTAGCATCAGTTGTAGCACCCTGGTGTCATGTAGCATCAGTTGTAGCACCCCGGTGTCATGTAGCATCAGTTGTAGCACCCTGGTGTCATGTAGCATCAGTTGTAACACCCTGGTGTCATGTAGCATCAGTTGTAGCACCCTGGTGTCATGTAGCATCAGTTGTAGCACCCTGGTGTCATGTAGCATCAGTTGTAACACCCTGGTGTCATGTAGCATCAGTTGTAGCACCCTGGTGTCATGTAGCATCAGTTGTAGCACCCTGGTGTCATGTAGCATCAGTTGTAGCACCCTGGTGTCATGTAGCATCAGTTGTAACACCCTGGTGTCACGTAGCATCAGTTGTAGTACCCTGGTGTCACGTAGCATCAGTTGTAGCACCCTGGTGTCACGTAGCATCAGTTGTAGCACCCTGGTGTCACGTATCATCAGTTGTAGCACCCTGGTGTCATGTAGCATCAGTTGTAGTACCCTGGTGTCATGTAGCATCAGTTGTAGCACCCTGGTGTCATGTAGCATCAGTTGTAGCACCCTGGTGTCATGTAGCATCAGTTGTAGTACCCTGATGTCAACTGTCATCAGTCATGTGACTCGACTTCGTGTAGGCTATACTGGCCCTGGTCACTGTGACCCCGCCCTGAGTCTCTCTCCCCGTCCTTATGAAGGACGGGGAGAGAGCCTTCTTCTATACTACTCATGCTTCAAGGTAGTGGAGGGTAGGGAGAGAGCCTTCTGCTATACTATATCCTCACCTCAGTCACGTAGAAAGAATGAGAGGTATCCTGGGTAGTTCTCGGTACAATCTTCACACTCTTCAGTCTTTATCTTCCTCTCTTTCTCTCTAATTCCCTTGTTTCTTCTTGTATATGTGTTCCTTCAGTCTTTTTATTCTATATCTGGCTACCACTACCACCTCATCATTCCACCAGTCTTCTCTTCCCTTGTGCACCCACCTTTGTGCACCCACCTTTGTGCACCCACCTTTGTGCGCCCACCCTCGTGCACCCACCCTCGTGCACCCACCCTCGTGCACCCACCCTCGTGCACCCACCCTCGTGTACCCACCCTCGTGCACCCACCCTTGTGCACCCAACCTCGTGCACCCACCCTCGTGTACCCACCCTCGTGCACCCACCCACGTGCACCCACCCTCGTGCACCCAACCTCGTGCACCCACCCTCGTGCACCCACCCTTGTGCACCCACCCTCGTACACCCACCCTCGTGCACCCACCCTCGTGCACCCACCCTTGTTCACCCACCTTCGTGCACCCACCCTTGTTCACCCCACCCTCGTGTACCCACCCTCGTGCACCCACCCTCGTGCACCCACCCTCGTGCACCCACCCTCGTGCACCCACCCTCGTGCACCCACCCAGAGTGTTTTTACATTCTCAATACTTTGAAAAGGGAAACGGAGGTGAAAGGGCTTCTGATCCAAGGAAGGGAAGCCACCTACCCTTCCCTGAACCAAAAATTGATTACTCCCCCTCATTTCCCTGACGTTGTATAACCCTAACGGGTTTAGCGATACCCTCATGGGTACAATATGTAACGACAGTTTGCCATAACTCTCACTCTCTTTAATTCGCTTTCACTACCCTTCCACTAACACCATTTTATTTGCCTTTTACTTTGTTCTTACTTTAACTACCATTAAGTAACTATTACGTCGCTCCTCTGAAGCCAAGAAGATGCGGAGGTGTGTGTGTGTCGCCTTAACCTCTCAGTCACTAACAAACTGCAGTTTAGCAAACTGCTCGTTGCTACTGTTGTTGTTGCTGCTGTTGCTGCTGCTGCTGCTGCTGCTGCTGCTGCTGCTGCTGCTGCTGCTGCTGCTGTTGCTGGTGCTGCTGCTGCTGCTGCTGCTGCTGCTGTTGCTGGTGCTGCTGCTGCTGCTGTTGCTGCTGCTGCTGCTGCTGCTCATCATACCTCGCTCGCTTATTTTATCACATTCTTAAAAGACTTGCTCAGACACAACACACTCACACACAACACACTCACCAGAGACACATTCGCTCACTGAACACACTCACTAAAAAAAATACCCACTTCAAACAAAATAATTCACAGAAAACAGAAGACCATCACAAAACTTACATTCACCCAGAACGCAGTTTTTAACATAACATCAAACCAAACGTAAGATAAGATTTCGTTCGGATTTTTAAGTCCGGAGGGTTAGCCACCCAGGATAACCCATGAAAGTCAGTGCATTATCGAGGACTGTCTAACTTATTTCCATTGTGGTCCTCAATCTTGTCACCCAGGATGCCACCCACACCAGTCGACTAACACCCAGGTACCTACTTGCTGCTAGGTGAACAGAACAGGTGTAAGGAAACTCGTCGAAATGTTCCCACCCCGCCGGGAATC